ACTATTGACTATTCGTGTGTAATTTTTGCTGTGCTTAAAAGCACTTTTGTCAATTTGTAAAAGTAATTAAGTACAAGTACAAAGCACATAGATTATATTGAAAAGGTGCTTGCAAGCAGCACTAAGCACTTTGAAAGCTGTGCTTATTTGTACTTAAGTACAAGCACCAAGTGCTTGACTCCATGCCTGCACTGTACTATTGCTTATTATATCACTTATAGGTAGTAATCAATCTCACACACATTTTTGCTTTATGCCAATTGCCTCCATTCATGTTCATCTTTCTTCTTTACTGTTTTTAGTCATCTTTGTGCTAATAATTATTAATATTAGTGATTGTGGTTTTTAGCAAGAGAAAAAAGAAATTAGAATATAACATGTACAGTGATGCTCCATTTTTCACTAACAGAATGTATGGATCAGCAGTCTATACAAAAAGTAAAGAGGACAACAAAAAAATTTATGAGGAAGTGAAATGAACCATGTGAAACATTTTTACATTGTTTTTGCTAATAATATTTGCTGCTATTATACACACATGCATTTACTGTTACAGAGCTATTTTTGTAATTTTTGACCTCATATTTATTGTTTCACTTAATTGATGTATTTTGAAAGCCCTCAGCTGATTACACAATGTAAGCTACATCATTGAGCATCTACCAAAAAAGGTATAGTTTATGCAAGGCTTCTGAGGAATAGCAGCCAGTTAAAACATCACTGTCAGAGAAATATTTATACACAGCCTACAGATACCATGTATTATGAAATAGAATGATTATAGTAACTCATGAAAACACTATTACTTCTCCTTCAAAAGTTACCAGCTATACAGCACAGTGCTTAATGTGTTTCAGCATCTTTATTAACTTTGAATGACATCACTGTATTGGATCAGTACAAGCAAATTGAGACATAATAAAGGTATAAATAGCCAGCTAGCATTCAAAATTTATGTACAATAATTGCAGTCACACTTCAAAAAGTACTCATGAAGTACTGATGGTTGTAAAGGTAAGTTTAAATTTTTTAATTTAATAATAAAACAATTTCTCCTATTTTATGTCAATATGAGTTGCATTTTGTTCAATTAATGAAGCAGCAGTATACACAAAAATGAAGAGGAGAATGAAAAATTGAACAAATGAGCAATAGATTTTTTGTGCTAATTGTATTTGGCCAAATGTTCATTGGCAATTTTATTTATTACTATGGGCAGGAGCCCATGATGAGTGTAGTAGTAGTAGTACTCATCATGGACTCCTGCTATGGGTAGACTATCGAACCGCAAAAGGTCAGCTGTATCCTTTGATAGAGGTTTTATGCGTGGTCTGAAGAACAGTATAGGGCTAGGCAAATTATGCTAGAATAATCTGGAGCATAATAGGACAAGTTATTATGCTGGCATAATTGAAGCATAATGAGTCTGAAATGTCTGGTCCTACACCCCTAACCACATGATTTCAATTCAACATGGCAGGTAGTACAAGCACTAGTACAACAACTCAAGTTACCCAACTGCTTAGTACCTATATATATACAAGCATAGCGAGTCCAATGATTTAAACTCTATTTTCTAGTGACTCATGTCACTATAGAAACATTTTCAGATTGAGGAATTATTACAATGTTAGTAGACCTACATGTAATTTGATAGTTGATATTTGAGTAAAGCTTAGAGTATGAGTACAATAGTGAGCATAATTGGATTCATTTAAAAGCATAGTAGCCTAGTAAGATGGAATTTGGGGCAGTGCCTACTAGAAACATAATTTGCCTAGCCCTAAAGAACAATAGGATATGAATACAAGGATATGAATACAGCCAAAACAACAGAATAATATAGTTTTGTGTTTATACATCACATAGCATGTATTTATATCTCATAGGATTGTACATGTACATCAAGACTTACAAAAGTCAGTCACGAAATGATGTCAAGAGATTCGTTTTCTACTAATATTTTACTTAAATGTGTATCAAGACATTTATTTAACTTGAATGAGAGCATGCTTTAAACTGACATTGAACAATCAATTTTGCCCTCAGTCATATTGGCCCGGAAAGCAGCATCTCTACACTAATACTACCCGGCTGAGAAAAGGGTTTAGCTATAAGATGAATGTATAAAGTGTAAAATGGATTGAAACATGAACCAAAGTTTGTTTTGAGCAGCATAAAAATAGTTAATGTCAAAATATTATAATATTTAGGATTTCAATTAGTTTACATGCAGTCTATAGGCAGTTAGAAAATCATTCACATGTTGTTCTCCTTTGATAATTCTCATCATTCTTAATCGATGTAGTCTGCTAGTAACACCGAGATCCTCTTCAAGCATTACATCATCCAATTCAAAGAATAATTTTCCGTCAACTGATTCATGTGAAAATGTAGCAGCATACTGCTTTAATCCCATTAGACCAAGAAACTCTCCTATCTATACAAATACAAATATAGTGTGCATATTAATAGGATTCTTACCTTTAAAGCATCATAATCTGCTAATAACCTCCTATTCATATCAAAATACTGCCCCATTTTGCTAACCGGTTGCTTTCCTTCAGTAGCTGCATGTACTGCAATGATAAAATTTTAAATCCAGTTAGTATTGCAAGAATTGGTTACAATGATTAGTTACCTGGGCTTTCTTGCCATTTTGCTATACCATAAGCACAGTTGTTTTGAGTAGAAACTTGTACTGGACTTATCAGAGGTGATGGAGGTGATAGAGGTGGTAGAATTATGCCTCGTCTAGGTGGTAGAGGAGGTGGAGGGTGAGTGTCTACAGGATGTTGTACTGACATTGATGGTGACACTTCCTTTGGGTCAAACTGTTCATATGTAAATGACTCATATATTTGATGTACCTTAAGAGGAGTCTTCTTTGTTAAATTTACCTCATCTAACCAGTTGCTAGTATTTTTTGGTAATAGTAGGTCATTCTGAAGCAGATTTGCAGTTGCAGTTGAATCATAGATCACAGCGGATATTTGGTCTGGTGTGAGTTTCTCTGACA